AAGAACGCAAGATCTGGAGGAGCACCAGCCTGGAGTAAAAGGAGATCTCAGGGGATTGATCAGTAAACCAGGTAAAAATTAACCAGGGTAACTACTGTTACCTTTTTCCCATTAGAAATAAACAGGTCGTTTTAGGGAAAGTGAACAATGTCTATAAAATGAAATGGTTTGAGAAGAATCTTCCAGTGATCATGTTGGATTAATGTCAAACTGGAAGTGTTGCCTTTTTCTAAATTAATGGCAAGTGAAAGTTTAGGGCATAATTTGTCTAAAGATTTTAATGTATATTTAAAAATAACTTATTATAATAATTATAAATTTAAATTACAGTTTGTTGGGTTTATCTTTACTCGTTGGTTGCTATGGTAAGTCTGCATTTAGAAATTGGCGCCAATTATAAATTAAGCTCATTCTTAGATCTGTTTTGACACATGGAAGCAATTCTCAGACATGTCCGTGCTTCAAATCATCAGTAATGATTTTAATAATTACGCATTGTGATTTAACAGGATGTGAAAACTGAATCCTATTCTCAGTGGCGTAGTGGACTGCAACCACCCCGTACTGGGTTGCGTCGAATCATGTTGTTGACTATAGCCAGAGATATTGTCAAACGCATCAAATATTTGCAATATTAAGAGGATTTGGCTTTTTTTTATTGACGTAGGCCTGGTACATTCTTATTTTTTATTATTATTATTATTAGGCCTGTTATTATTTTTAGGTTACATTTATTATTAAATTACAATTAATCTGCCCCGCAATAATTTCATAAAGCATCACTGCATAGCTGTGAGGATAATAAAAGATTAGGCTATTAGCTTACTCCTCATTGAAAATGTTTTTAAAAAGGTCTTTTAAAACCACTCTATTAATTTATACAATGAATTATAGGCCTGTAGTTCAAATTAACAACACTGCAGTCATCAATGAAAATTAAGAGCAGCTTTATTTCAAGCACTGACTTTCAAAAATAACCTGTTTAACGCAAAATACATTTATTTATATGCCTATTCTATAAAAAATTTAAAAGCAGTATTAGCTTAGACTGCTTGGTATTATTTTACACTTTTTATAACGCCTGAGGAGAAACCTTAATGTGTATTTGGATATTAGAACATGCCAAGACTCTGGATGAGAAGAAGAGGGAAGCTGAACTGTTGAACAGACTGATGAAGATAGTGAATGACAGGAACACCGTTGTTGAAGGGCTGGAGAAGGACCGGATAAGGTGAGGGAGCCACACCATCTATCACTCCATGTCAAATGCCATGCTTTTTAATGTGGTTAATCTTCCCTTGCATGCAAAAGTTGCAGAAACACTTTGAGAATGTAATGTGTCAATTTAAGGGAGGAGGAAGAAGATCAACAGTTGAATGAGATGATGCAAAGACTGGGTGAGAGCTTGTTCCTCTTGCCATTTTTTATCTTGTCAAGTCTACTCTCAGCTTGAAGCAGCAGAGAACATTTTTAACTTAACATTCTAACCTTCTTTTTTTTTTTTTTTTTTTTCCTGATGCAGGTCTTCAGAAGTTTAAAAACAAACGCAAGCCATCCTTCTCAAAGTTATTTAGACGGAGAAGTAAAAAAGCCTCTATGGGATAGTGAATTTGAGAGCTGCTGGAGTGAAGTAATCCAGACGTTCTGCTGTAGCCTGTTGATGTCCAGATCTTTCCAGGTGACCTTAGATGGTTTAAAACGAGGTGGGATTAATATAACACATCTGTCAGGCGATTAAGTGAATTCGAGTTCTTGGAGCAAAATAATGTTCCGTTTAAACACTTTTATTTTATTTTCACTTATTTGGTTAAGCCAATACTAGTTCTGTTCATTTGCTTTGAGTTAACATATTGGTCCTGTATGCTTCTTTTGCCTTTACTTTAAATGTGTGGGCTAGTTTGAATTATTATTGTTCAAAAAACATTTATTTTATTATTTTCCTGTCGTCTTCCACCCCCTCACTTGTTCAGACATAAACCGTAACTTATATTGGCAGATAAACAAACAGATGCCCAAGGCTGGCTGAAGCATGCTACTTGACTGTGATCCAAGAAGCTGTGGAGCATCTTAATTTAACCCTAACCGCCTAAAAAGAAAATGATGATAATTGAACTGCTAAATCTAGAGATCTTGAAAGATGCAGTGCATGCAGTGACCTGAAGGGGGCACTATGAGCTCACACAGGCCGAGTTTACCAGTTTCTTATTTTCTATGCCTGAGAATGCCAAATCAAGCTGGAGATTAATTAGACTGCAGCTGATCTTGTGTGCTGGAAAGGCATGGATTATTGGTTTTATTCTCGTTTTGAATCCTAGTTCAATTAAAAGTGTGCCTCATTTAACTTCTCTAAGATATATAGTCTGTCCAAAGATGTCTTTTACATGGGGTTTAAATGTTTGAAAAACCTACAGAATGAATGTTTTAAGAAGTTTTAAAAAGTTCTCTTGAGAGATGCTTACAAATGGATGTGCTTATTTATTGTATATTAGACTTTTAAAATGAGTCTCCAATAAATCTTAATGAAGTGTCTTATTGTACCCTAAACTAATTCCGAGCTTTATTTTAGTTTGATATACATCATCTGTCTTCATGCTCACATTCTCTCAATTTCAGACATTAATATTCATAAGTAAAACAATTCGTCCTGTGAATGGCTGATGAAATGAAATTCTCCGAGGTGAGCGCTTGCGTCCACGCCGCCCGTGCCCATCAAAAGATGCCATTACTGATCAAGTGCTTAATGTATATGAGCCGTCTGATGAAATTGAAGGGATAAAGGATGCTGGGGTTCGACTTGTTTGTCACCAGCCTGATATTTCAAAACCAGACTGCCAGCTTAAATGCACCCTCGCTAACCTCACGCATGCGCGCGCTTGTCTCTCTTTCGGTGCATAACTGAATGGCATTTACATATTTGCTTGATCAAGGCCAGCTAAGCGCAGGTCACTAACAGAAAATGGATTTGAAAATGGAGTGTACTTAAGCGTTTTTTTTGTGTGTTTTCGGTGGAAAGTGCGCTAATGCGATGCACAAGCTTTCAGTGTAATGCAACGTGGTTTAATTGTTTAATTAAAAGCGTACATTACACACTTATCTGGCGTACAGTTTATTTTAAAGGTCAAACTCTGCTTGTCCAGCGGCGGCCGCTGAGCTGTTTGTTCTCTTCCTGTGTGTGTGTGTGTGTGTGTGTGTTGCAGATATGGTGCTAGCGCTTCTGCCACTAGCCTGTAATTATGATCCTCAAGGTAATTTTATCAGCCTCATTAGCTCTGATGAGTAAACTAGAAGCGTGCTTCTAATTTATTAGCCATCCAGACTGGAGCCCTGGCTCTCATCAGACGGATCATAATATTTGTATAGGGGAGCTGATATATCCAGTGTATCATCCGGCCTCAGGATAGATTTGGAATTAGTAATTGCGTTCTAAATGCTGGCCCTGCTTGGATAGCTTAGTTTGATCTAGAGCAGTGGTTCTCAACCTTTTTTGACTCCAAGGCCCCCTCAAGGTTTTTCTGGTACTACTACTGTATTGGCAAGGCTCATTATCAAACTTTATTTATTTATTTACATTTAGTAGGAGTGGCTATGTATTCAAATAATTGTATAAATTTAAATTAAATTCCATAAGTACATTATGGAATTTATGATTTTTGTAGTCCTTTGCAATTGCGTTTTAAATTATTTAACTCACAAATAGCAATTTCCCCGATAAAATTATTTTAGAACTTGACATAACTAGAAGAATTGGTAACACTTTACGATAAGGTTATATTTCTTAACATTTAAGCTTTGTTAAAGCATTAGCCGAATTAGCAAAATGCTTCTAAAGTATGTATTAATCTTAACGTTAATTGCAGCATTTAATAATGCATTATAAAAATCAAAAGTTGCATCTGTTAATATTTAATAGACCTGAGCTGACATGAACAATGAACAGTTGTATTTTTATTTAATGTTAACAAAGATGAATAAATACTGTAACGAATGTATTGTTGATTATTAATGCATTAACTAAAATTAAATTGGACCTAATTGTAAAGTCACTGACAAATATTCATTATAAAAAAAATTTAAAAAAATCCATAACTTCAAAATGTTATTCATTTTCATGACTTTTTCAGGTCTAAAAACAATACTTTTAAAATTAATTTCATATCCCAGTTTTCCAAGACATGGGAATACTGGTTCATAAATTAGAAATTAAAGTTATATAAAAATAAAAAGTGCATGAGCTTACATGTAGATTTTTAGCTAATTTTAAAGCTTAGTGTTTTAATAAAAAAATCCATAACTTCAAAATGTTATTCATTTTCATGACTTTTTCAGGTCTAAAAACAATACTTTTAAAATTAATTTCATATCCCAGTTTTCCAAGACATGGGAATACTGGTTCATAAATTAGAAATTAAAGTTATATAAAAATAAAAAGTGCATGAGCTTACATGTAGATTTTTAGCTAATTTTAAAGCTTAGTGTTTTAAGTAGTCTAAATAATATTCTAAGCCATTCTGTTGTGTGCTGAGGCCCCCTAGCAGGTCCCGGCTTCCACTGGTGCACCCAACCCTCCCAATTTAAGGGTTTTGTTTAGTAAATATGTCTATAAAAAGCCGTTCTTCTGATCACACAGTAAACTGTAGTTACCCACCACAAAATTATTTTTCGCAGGGAAAAATTCATTTAGTCTCCGTGTCATTTGGTGTATTTGAAGAGAGGGGGTAATGTGCTCACATTTTCACTGTGTGTACATTTGCATTGAGGGGAAAATATGCACGCTGGCTACTGGGAATGAGATGGAAAGTGCATGACTAGGAGACTTGACAAGTGCAGCTTTTCATCCATCTCAAATGAATAATTTTCCCTTCCCTTAAACATCCCTAATCCAAGCATGTTATCAGCACCAATGCAGGATTTTGCCCGACTCTGCTCAGAGGCAAGGCAACTTCTCCTTCTTTACACGTTCGCAAGAGCTCCTGCTTCTTACACTGGCACAGAGACTCACCGCTTTATCCTTTCGGCTGGTTTCGTGGATCAGTGGAACGGGCCCCACAACAGAAGTGATACATATGGAAACTCTTCACAAATGCCAAAGTCTCTTTTCACCCACAATCTGAGCTGGCTCACTAGATGTCCTGCGTTGGCACACAACTCCTGACAGAGATATCACAGCACTGCACTGAACAGAAAGTGTGTCATTTCATCTTGTATCACATGTTCTTCAAATGCAAGAACATGTTCAGTGTCTAAATTTTGATGTGGGCCTGTCAAGGCCCTGGTGTTTTTTTTTTTGTTTGTTTGTTTTTTGTTTTTTTTTCTAAGAATTTCAAATGAATATTTGTTGCTTTCCAGTAAGCAGTTGGAATCCGTTGAAATGTATTAAGTTGAAATTCTCAGCATGGGAGCTCTTTCCTGTGACGCTTTGCGGTGAACAGATGCTTTGATGCTATACAGTTGAATTGCTGTTGAGATCTCATGGCAAGATCTGTGATGGGTAATGAGACCGTTGACGTTTTTAATAACCACAACGCTCACTGCGCGTTAACCTCATTTCCAGGTAACTTTCGGATGCCACAACATCTCGTCTTAAAACGCTAGAGGAAGCTTCTAATTTGTCATTTAGTGACATTTTAAGCCTTTTAAATTAATCCAGACAGGGATTTACAGTTCCCTCCCAAGAAAAAATAATTTTGTCCTCTTAGGAAAATAAGGGGAGAGATTAATGGTGAACGTGCTGTGTTGGAAGTAAGATAATTTTATGCACACATCAATGCTTTAGGTGTATAAATTTGGTAGGCACAAACTAAAGGTCTGGTGCACTTTATGTAATTAATTAATTTTTATATA